AGGGCGTGTCATTATCCAAACGAAAATCTAAAGGCAAGAAGGAACAACTGATTGAGATGGGAAGGAACCAGTGAAAGAACTCTGGAAGTATGAAGACGCAAACGGAAAGCACACCTCCAAAAACAAGAAGTGACAGCTGCCCCAGATGAGAAGGAATCAGCGAAAGAACTCCAGAAGTATGAAAATCACAGCAAAATGACACCCGCAAAATAGAACACCAGCTCTCTAGCAATGGATACCAACCAAAATGAAAATGTTGAAATGACAGATAAGGAATTCCAAATATGGATTGTAAGGAAGCTCAATGAAATCCAAGAGAAAATAGAAAACCAACTCTAAGAAACCAGAAAAAACAATTCAGGAAATGAATGAAAAATTCACAAAAGAGATTGACATATTTAAAAAAACAATGCTTTCTCCATTTTAAATTTTAAATTCTTAAATCAAGTGATCTATCCTTTGTATAATACTATACAATTGACAGAAGGGGTTTAAATCACTTTTGAAACATACACATTTGGAATCGTTATGTCTTCTTCATGGATTGATCCTTTTTCATTATGTAATGTCCCTTTCTGTCCCTGGGAATTTTCTTTGCTCTGAATCTTTTTTATTTGATATTAATATAGCCACTCCTGCTTTCTTTCTATTAATGTTTATATGGTATTTAGACAATTTATATTTAACATATTTATTGATACGTTAAGGCTAAGTCTGCTTTTTTAATTTTTGTTTTGTTTGTTCTCTGTGTTTTTAGTTTCTATTTGCCCTGCCTTCCTGTAGGTGACTTGAACAATTTTTAGAATCTCATTTTGGTTTATTTATAATGTTTTTGAGTGCATTTATTTGTGTGACTTTTTTAGTGTGTGCTGCTAGCAATACATTATATACATAATTTATCTAATGGTCTTCTGACATCATCATTTTACCTGCTTGAATGATGTATAGAAACCTTCCCTCCCTTGTACATTTTTTTACACTCCCTTGTCTATAATATAAATATCTTAGATATTTCCTCCCACATACATTGAGACCACATTAGACAATGCTATAAATTTGTCTTCAATCATCAACCATAAGAAACCTCAAGAGAAAGGAAAGTCTACTGCATTTACCCATGTTTTTGCTTACTGTGTTCTTTCTTCCTTCTTAATGTTCTAAAGTTCCTTCTTCTATCATTTTTCTGTTTTAAAAACTTGCTTTTGTCATTCTTTTAGGGTAGATCTAAATTCCCTTAATTTTTCTTCATCTGAGAATGTCTTGATTATCCCTTCAATACTGAAGGATATTATCACTGAACATAGAATTCTACATTGACACTTCTTTTCCTTCAGCACTTGAAAAATGCTCTGCCATTTCCTACTAAGGCCTTGTCAGTTTCTAATGAGAAATCTATCAGTCTAATTTTTTCCCCTTGTAGGTATAGGAAAGGTATTGTTTCTCCTTGGCTGCTTTCAAGACTTTTTCTTTTTCTTTAATTTTTAGAAGGTTGATTACAGGATGTCCTGAAGTTGATTTCTTTGTGTTGATCCCGTTGGTATTTGCTCAGCTTCTTGAATCTGAAGGTTTATGTCTTTTGCTCAATTTGGGAAGTTTTTAGTCATTATTTCTTCAAATACTTTTTCAGTCCTACACTCTTTCTCTTTTCCTTCTGGGAATCAGTTGGCATGAATGTTTAAAGCTTTTGTTCTAGTCCCATAGTGAATTCTATTATTTTATGTTTTTAAGCTCTCTGAACCTTTTCCTGTCTTCTCCACTTTGCTGTTGAGTCCATCTACTGAGTTATTGAGTTTTTAGGGTTTGTTGTTGTTGTTGTTATTGTATTTTTCAGTTCTAAAAATTTCGTTTGTTTGTTTTTATGTTTTTTTTTTTACATTGGGGAATAAACAGTCTCTTTATTTTTTAAATTTTATTGCAAAATATTAAGGGAGTACAAATGTTTATGTTATATGGCTTAAGTCAGGGTTACAAATGTGCCCATCACTGAAATAGTGTTCATTGTCCCAGTTAGGTAGATTTTTGCCCCTTCCCTCTTTTTATGGTTTATATTTCTTTTTAAGACTTTCTATTCATTTGCTGAGATTTTGTATTTTACCATTTGTTTCAATTGTGTTATAATTGCTCATCGAAGTATTTTTATGATGGGTGCTTTAAAATCCTTGTCAGATAATTCTAACATTTGTGTCATCTCAGTATTGTCATCTGTCTGTTTTCTTTTTTCATTCAAGTTGATATCTAGTATGATAAGTGATTTTTGATTAAAAGTTGGATACTCCTAATGTTATTTAAATCTTTTGTTTTAGCAACCCTCCTCTGGCACTGTCCTGGATAGAAGGGGGCCAGTAGAAGTCTAGTTTCTCTACTGGATCTCTCTTGACATCCAGGTTGGGGAGGGGCTCTTTGTTCCTGCTGATTAGGAGTGGGAGTTCAGGCTTCTCTCTAGGCCTCTGCTGATTCCATCTCAGCTGGTTGGGGTAGAAACACCTGATTAACACTGGTAAAGGTAAAAATCCTGGTTCCTGAGGTGGCCTCCACTGGGAGTGGTCTATTTTTATTGGGGATGAAAGTCCTTGCTCCCACTTGGTCCTCTGGTGCTGGGGTGGGGGTTCCTTTAAAACTCATTAAGAGTAGAAATCTAGGTTCTCCACTTGCAGGCCTAAGCTTCTTACCAGCTGCATTGTTACTATGACAGCTGGCATTCTACTGCACCATGGTGTTTCACTTCCTATCTCCCGATGCTTTTGTAGAAAATAAAATTGCAACATATCCCGTTCTTCCCAGTCTTTTCATGGGATGTAGTGGGAAGAGGACGGCCTTTGCAGGCAGACTACAAAAATGTGCCATTTTCAAGCTGTTTGGCTCTGGGAAAGTCACTCGAATTCTCTGAGCCTCCATTTTCCGAACTATAAAGGAAAAATAGGAATCTCACAGAAGTCATGCTGGAATGAGGAAAAGTAGGTCAAAGGGCCTGTCACATTCCAGGTTCAATAAATGACAGTTCCTTTCCTCTGCAGGAGAGAAGAAGGTGCTTCACCACCACCACCGCCATGTGTAGATCTCACTGAGGCACTCCAAGGGTTAAAATCTCATGATCAAAAGCTTATTTCCTGACATCCTCCACTCCTTTCCCCCAGGTTCTTGGAAAACCCTTCGGGGAGAAAGTCTGAGCCAGGCCACTCTCAGAATGAGAGTGGGAGCCAGAGCAGGGGCTCAGGCATAGCAGAAGTCCTAGGAGAAGAAAGGCCTGTTGCGAGCCCACGCAGTCAGCCCGCCCAGGGCTATTGTGTTCTGAGCAAGTACAACATCATCGCTTTGCCAAAGCTGCTCCCAGAGCAGTGGGATCACACACTTGTCAACTCCCACTTTGCCAGCCCGCCTGTCACCTCCAGCCCAGAGCAGCTGTTGTGTTCCCACCATCACAGCACAGCGACTGCGTCTCCAGTCCTAAACGCTCCCATTACCCTCCCGAGAGCGGGATAGGAAGAAAGAAAGTGGCAAATGAATGAAAAGAAAACGAGCGTGCGCCATCCTCTCAGCCCCGCCCGTGAGGATTCCTCTACACTCCCTGCCCGGCAGCCCCTGACAGCAGCCACCAGCCCCAACGCACTAGACTTCGCTCTCAAAAGGTTTTCCCGAGCTCCAGGCTTTGAAGTTGAAGGGAGACCGGGGGAAAAAAAATCTCGACTCCTAAAGAGCAAGGAGCCAAAGACACCTTGAAGCCAAGAAGTACTTGAAAAAATTGTGTCCATGAATGCCGACCACCGATCCCCATCCCAAGAAGAATAAAGCTGTCTTGAGACCAACCCGGTATGTCTCCAACTGCGCTTTCTCAGCCACATCTGGCAAGAGGTCGCGCTCGTGCTCATTCTCTCTCGCTCTCCTAATCTCAGTTTTGACTATCCCCAGACTCCCTCCTATCCTCACTTCACCTGGAAGTCTGTGGTGAATGTACCCCTTTCCAGCTCCCCTAGGCAAGTAGTCTAACAATAGATACTTTCCATAGGTAACTCAGCCCTCTTGCGCAAGGAGGTATTCGATTTGACCGGGGTGGGGGGACGCTGCAACGTACCACTTACCTGATCTCTTTAATGCTTTCCAATTTGCACATGATTTCTTGCTCATCTGCCATGTTTTTCACTCTCAATTTCACGCCCGAGAAATGTACAAATACAACAGCCGGGGGATACAATAGACACAATGTAGCCACCTCCTCCCGGTTTGGGGCTCTGAGCCTGTGCGGTAGGGACTTGGAGAGGCTTGGGAGCTGTAGTCCACAGCTCCAGGGCCTGCCAGGCAGCCCGGGGGCCTGCGGGACTACAACTCCCAGAAGGCCAAGCGAGACATGCCAGTTTCTCTTCCTGCAGCCGCACTTTAAATCAATTTGTCACAGATAATTATGTCAAAGGTTGTGAGGAGTGCAAGGGAATGGGGATATTCGTCTGGCCCGTCTGTAGAACATGGAAAAAACATACTCTTAAAGGCAACTGGAGAGATAAGAGACATACCCATTCACGGCCCTCTGGGGGCCCTCACGCCTGCCTACCCACTCCAAAAAGGTTACCAGAGTCGCCAATTATGGCTTGGGGCGGGAGAGAAACCCTGCACTGGAATTAGCTTCTGAGAAGTTGAGTGTTCTAGCTGCTGCCTGGGGACTAGTAGCTTTGGCATTCAAATAGAGGTGGGGAAGAGGAGCTTTTGGGGAGGAGGGTGCAGCTGCGAAAGCTGGGGAAAACGGGGGTTGGGAGGAGGGGGTGGGGAGGAGGACCTCGTTCCTTCCTGCTACCCACATAATTCAACAGTTACTGAAATCAGACTTTGCCAGTCCATGAAGGAAGTACTGAGGGGGTCACTGCGTGAGGCAAAAATAAAAGCAAATTCTTGCCTTTGAGGAGCAGGAGAGACTGAAAAGTTACCCATTAATTACAGTATAGTGTGGTGTCATAATACAGGAATGGATAAGGTGTAACCTGTACAGAGAAGATGTAAATCGGTCTCAAAAGTAAGAATTTGCCAGACCATAGAGAAGAATGGGCTTTCCAGGAGAAGATACAACACACAGAAAGAAAGGGACAAGTGGTCCCGAGTGTCTGGAATATAGGGTTCTTATATGGGGTGTAGAGGTGGAAAAGAGAAGTGGGAGATGTAGTATCTAGAAAAAGTACATTTGAACCAGATTGTGAAGTACGTTGAATGTCAGACTAAGGAGTTTGGGCTTAATCCTCCAGGCACACTGTTAGGGTGGAAAAGACTAGTAGGTGCTCACGACGCAGGTGGAGAAAGATTTCTCATGGAGAGATTAAGATATATAAGTAAAATTTATTTTATTCTTTAGAAGGACAGAGAGAATATGAGACAGAGAGAGAGAGAGAGAGAGAGAGAGAAAGAGCAAGGGGGCGGGGGGGTGTTGGGAACAGACCAGAGACACAGCGTGGCATCCCAAAGAAAGAGAAGGGAGATGCCAGCAGCAAGGCCCAGGGGCTTGCTGCTTTTATGGGGACAAAGAGAAAAATAGTAATTGTTATGGAGTAAGTAGCAGGCAGTCTCGAGAGGTCAAGTTGCCCATCTTTCTTGTTTCTTCTGTTCCTGGAGACTTGGTTATCTCTGAGATGTAGTCAGGCTTATCACAGGGGATGTGATTTTTGCCCCTGAGATATTTGGTTTTGGGCAGGAAACAAAGGCCTGGGGTTTATCCCCCTGCTGTCTTGTGGGGAGCTTCTTAGAAACTCCTGGAGGCTGGCAAACAAATTCTAAAGGCCATGAGATGGTGAATGTAAAAAGAAAGATTTACATTTCCTTTCTGGGCTCTTTTCGGGTGTTTGTGAAAACAGAGTCCCAACAGGTTGCCTGCTAGTTTGGGACAGAAACTAGATGCAAAGAGTAGGGAGAGCTCAAGATTGATCTTTAGCTGTTATTAGAAAATTGAGAGATTCAAGGCCACCCTGACACACACATTTATCCAAAATACATGTATTAAGTGTTTACGGTGTGCTAAATAATGCAGAATTGTGTTTCAAAGCATGGGAGTGATAAGATTGGAGGAACATCTTAGGGATGTGACTCTGGAAGCAAAGTAGGGAATAATTAAGGGAGACAAGAGCAGGTAAAAAGGCAGTTACTCAGAAAGCACAAATAGGCCGAGAGTGCTGGGCTTTGGACAAAAAGAAGACCTCACTCACTCCTAACTAAGAATGACTCAGGACTCTCTCTGCTTGACTTTGCCCCTTCTTTTCCTGAGCCTCAGTTTCCTCATCTGAAAAATGGACCTGGTGAACCCCACGTCAATGACTTGTTGTGACGACTCAATAAGATCATCCCCATGATGGTGCTGAATACAGGGATTGGTATTTTGTAGGAGCTCAAGAAAAGTTTGTGGAACATGAATCTCCGGCCATTCCTGGGTGTCCACACTGATTTTAAGAGTTCTCCAGGGAAGGGATTGAAGCGCTTCTCTTCTTTGGATCTCAGACATTATAACCTTCAGAACCAAGAAATTCTCTCTGGTGTCTAGCCTAACATTTTCCTGTGGGTCCAGAGTCAAGGACTGGCCTCAGCCCTGTACTATAAAAGGAAGAGGAGAGGAAGAAGCCCCTGTAAGCGCATGGCAGGCACTGGCTACTGTGCGGAGGGCTGTATGTCTAGTCTATCATTTCATTCACACAACCACTATAAATAGGGCAAGTAGATTCATCCTCTTTTACAAGGAAGAAAACTGACTCAGATAGGGAATGCGGCTTTGCCACGGTTACACAGTAAGTTACAAAGCTAGAGCCTGGGATCAATTTGGACTAAGTTACTTTCAGATTAATGAAGGGAATGTGTATGAAAAAAAATATGGCAACCAAAATAAAATGGGGTCCTGGATGTACATATTTATGTCAAACATAAAGTGCTTTACAATGTGAGTTAATGCTGGTTTGGGAAGAAGTGGAGGCTGTGTATGGGAATGTGTGGGAAGCAGTTTACAAATGGCCTTTGAGGTGTTTATGCTGACTGTCTCTCTCTTTCCACCACTCACTTCCTCTAAGAATCCATACCTCACAACATGCTCACATGTCTGAAAGGGGCTGGATGTGGCTATGCATATGTTTAAATAAAATCTGTTAATGGGTTTACAGTCTGATTTGGCAGTAATTTGGCAAATATCTTGTCTTTCAAGCCTCACCAAAACCCTATTTCACAGATGATGAAACTAAGTCGAAGGGAGGCAAAGAACGTATCCAAGGTCACCCAGCATGGCTGACACAGAACCAGGTCTCCTGACTTATAGGCCGGTGTTCTTCCTGTGGCCTCACATAGCCTGTATCAAGTTGCTGATGCCCCCATAGTGTCCGAATGCCTCTGTTACTTTTCAGCCAGATGGTACACTTTAATACAGGGTGCCTGCAGAGGGCCAAGCATGCCGGATGCTCCCCATTCATAGACATTAAAGGGAGATGGCAGTTAATCTAGGAGAGGGGGCCTTCAGAGCACCTGAGCTTGAAAGAATGTTCATGCCGTTTGTAACAATTAAGATGTCCAACTAAAAAAAGAGTAATAAACCTCTTAGCTTCCATGGGTTTGCCTTGGCTCCTTGACCTCTGTAAGAACAGATATCGTACCTGCTCCTTGCTGAGTTGTAAGAAACCAGGCTAGCGATGAGAGGGAGAAAGAGGAGGAAACCACAGCCTTCCATCCCTACTCCTGAAGCAGCACTTAAAACGGTATCTCCAAGCCAAGCTGGTGGCTTTTCCAGAGTAAAATGTTCAGTAACTCTCAATTGATCAGAAGTCTGTAATGGCTGAGACATAGGAACTGTGCTAACAGCAAGTTCTAATGAATTATTTCATTAGAGGAAGTGGTTGACTTGAGGTAGTAAGCATTTAAAAAGTCTCAGTTTTTTCAGGGCCAACATTGTTCTTATTGCTAAGAAATAGGTAAGGAGGGCAGGGTATGGTGGGCTATATACCATTAAAATGCAGGAAATTAGCAAAGGTGAAGCCAGTCAGTCTTTTATTAACATGACTTATCTTTCAGGTTATAGATCAAGATTTTGAAAGTGGAGGTCAGAATGTTTGAATTCACAGATATTTCCCTGTGCTTCAACAGTGAACTGAACTAAGAGAGGAGGCAGAGACGCAATAAGAGCCTTCGTTCTGAATTGCCTTTTGAAAAGAAGTTCTAATTATTTACTGAGTTTCTCACCATGTTCCTTAATCAGCATTTCTAAGAGAAAAATGAGGCAAAAATTTTGGATCATTCAGCCAAAACATATTTATTGTGTACCAATTATGTGTCAGGCACCATGCTAGGCAGTGGAGATCCCATAGTAGATATGACAGACACAGGCCTTGCTGTAACAAAGCTTATCATTTAGTGGAAGAAACCAGCTATTGAAAAGATCACACATAAATATAGAAGTATACCCAGAAATCAGGGCTTGGAAAAAACATCTAGGTTCTGTGAGCACACGTAGGGGAGTACTAACTTAGTCCTGGGTAGTGAGCAAGGCGACAGTCACGGAAAATCTTCCTGAAAGAAGAATCCTGAAGGAAACTAGGCAGGAAGGGATGGAAAGAGCAGGAGGCATCAAGGATTCATTCATGCAATCAGCCAACAAATATTTATTTAGCACTTACTATACGCCAGGCACTCTCCTAGGTTCCAGAGATATAGTGTTTTACATGCATTAAGTTAGTTTAATCCTTGCAATAGTCCTATGAAATAGATATTATTATTATCCCCATTTTACAGAAGAGGAAGCTGAGGCACAGAAAAGTTACGAAACTTTCTCAGAGTCATACAGCTAGTAAGTGGCAGAACTGGGATTTGAATTTAGATAGTCTGGCTTCAGAAGCCATGCTCTTACCCACTATGTTCTATTGCTTTCCTAAAATCCCAGTCCTCAGGAAGTTTACATTCTAGTAGGAGGAGCCAGACAATAAACATGGAAAAGAAAAAACCAAATAAATATAATAAGATTAAATATAAAGCCATAAAGACATTAAATGAGGATAATGGGATAGAATGGTGGCAGAAGGGAGAATGTTTCAGGTAGGATGGTCAGGGAAGGCCTCTCTTTGTAGCCAGGCCTCTTGAGATTTTAGTACTTCAGCGCTTTTAGTGACTGATATAAATAAATTCTGACTAGGCCCTTCTTTGCTTGCAGGTGATAACTACTTGCTTCCTGCCCAGCACCCCTTGTTTTCACAGTAATTAACTGCTGGTGTAATGTTCCTTTGTCAAGCAGGAG